ACGTATGTAATTCCTGCATGTTCTCTGGCCAGTAGGATTTTGACACACATGACATGATTATATGCTGCATTTCACAGATTTTGGAACTTATACTTTTTTACTGCTTTTGAACTTATATTTGCACATGAGCTTGGGGTGGATAGATCCTAGAGGATCCCTTGTCTTACTGAGATTTCTTTTTAGAGATCCCACCCCACATTTGGGGCACATTTTCAGGTTCAGGTACCTCAGGGGTTGATACTTTGGGTGGCAGGAGGCCGGAGCTGAGTTGAGATATATGATCTTGTGCTGTTATGCTTGGCTGTTTATCATGATTTATTGCCATTATGTCATTATTTGATTTGAGACTCTTTTGGGCTTTGTTGCCTTATTTGGTGAACATGAGGATTGTCCCTGCCACATTGATGTTAGTTATGTTTTTAGTTTGAGTTGTATAAATCATAAGGATATTGTCCGGTCTACGTGTTGTAGTTCCGTGACTAGAAACACATTTATGTATGAGGTATTCCGTTAGTTGTTGAATTGCAATTTACATAAGGTATTGTTTTGAAAAAGGATTTAAATAATCAACTTGGTTAATAATAATGATATCATAATTGAACAGAAAAAGTTAGTTCTGCATTTTAATTAAGCAGCGCTTAATACGATGATATGATAATAAATCGGACATACACGAAGTATTACATTATGAAACATGCAACTTGGTGGAATTAGATTTCGCAATTTATTTTGTTTCTTTTTCACTCACTTTTTTCCTTCCCGTGAGGCGGCTTCTTGAGCTTACCCAAAGCCTACCTCAATTATAATAATAAGTCATTCCTTTTTTTTTTAAAAAAAGAACAAAAGTCAATCTCAATGGTGGTCAAAAATAACTTTAGCTTATTTTATTCTTAATAATTGAACTATATTAGTACATGCATGTTACTTAAGCCACTGTGACGAGGAATTTAGATAAACTGTATTAAGTTATATGTTGAATTCACATCTGTATTCAAAAAAAGAAAACAAAAGAAAGTACATTTACTTACACCTGACCATTTATTGTGTTGCTTATAATGAATAGAGAATATGCTTGGCAAAGAGCAGAAAAATGAAGAAAGGCCACGAAAAATATTAAAATGAGAGTGAGAGATAGAAAGAATAATTTGGGGCCTGTTTGTGTTTTTTTTTATTCTTAAAACTGTTTTGTAGAATAGTTAATGGAATATGTATTTTTGTGTTTTAAAAATTAAAAGGCAAAATACAAAATAAAAATTACTGAGATATTTTCTCTAAATTTGATTATAAACTAAAAAATAGTTATAATTTTTAGAATTAATTTTACAAAACAAGTCTTATTAAGCAGGTTTTTTTATTTTTTATACTGAAAAAAAAAAAATTCGAAAACATAATTCAAACCGGACTTTGGTTTCTATTGTTTTCACCTCTTCACCGGGAATGAACAAACCCATCTTCTTGTTCACAGAGGCACATAAAAAGAGAAAAAAGTTGGACCAGATGGCGGAAAAAGAGAAAAAAGAAAAATAAAAGCGACTCTTCTATGTTAATTTCTAAAAGATATTACTCTTTGGTACCTAAAAAATAAGTAACTCTTAATTTAGAATAAAAAGCAACATTGTGATGCTGAAAATTTACCACCTGGATCGGACTTGTCCTTGTGAACAAAAACATATGACGCAATTATAAATTTCAAAACAAAGAACAAGAATTGTGCATCAAATCCCAATGAAAGTAACATGTTCTCATTTTTCGAAAGCATTTAATTTTAATTGATAGATGAAGGCATGATAAGGTGTATAAAGAATACCTGTTCACGAGTAACATAGTAATACCAGTGAACCATAATTTTTTTCCATTTGGTCCTTCAAGCCTTGGAGCTCAATTTCCTCATTAAACTTATTGAAGTGAATCGGTCCATAAACATGATCGGAACAGCTTTTTATAATTGGGCTGTGATTTTCTTCTGCACAGACTGGAACCACCGTCTTGGATCAGAGCATCTTGCATTTGGATCGCTTTGCCGCTTTATCCATGGGTTTTCTATAAAACGAGATGGAGGTGTACAGACACTCCGACATTCAAGTCAGTTATGGTTCAAGCAGGTTTTATTATGCAGGAGAATATGTGTACCTTTGTGTTAATAAGTATGTATTTATAATAAAGTGATGAGCAGCTTGAGAGATGTTACTTAGTGATTTGTCTTGAAAGCAAAGTACTAGAGCGAGCTTTGATGAGATAAGCTTGTTATTATTGTGGAGCTTGCTGTCATAGAGTCTTTAATATTATGCAACTTGGAGAGATAGCCTTGATGATAAAGATGAGGTTTGCAGCCTTCTTTGACCAAAGACTTTGCTTAATGGTGAAGACCTTTGATTTGAGCTTTGTATTTTGAGCCTTGTATTTGTATAATATTTATCAACATCAACCACATTTCACGTTACGACTTCCATTAGCACATACAAAAACATGTGAAGCGGTCAACACCTCTGGCGCTCCAGTAGCCAATGCAAATCGTGCTGTGCTCCTTGAGAGAGTATTTTGGAAGTGAAAAGGGAAGTATCTATTAGTTTGATGTGGCAGAAGCTATAGTGCTCACAACGTATTGTAAAATAAGAGGTAACATAAAGGAACATAGACAGACAAAAGATAAAAGTAGAGAAATAAATATCTTCTCATATTATAATGTGTATTACTAGGCTCCCATATGAGTACATTTTAGCTCTATTTATAGGCTCCCAATCAGTTACAATATATTATAGAAATCAATCCCACTAATTGCATATAATTAACATATAAGGGTTACAAAAGTTACACAATTTAGGTGTTATGGGCATCCACATTAATATTGTTTATAACAAAAGGAAAGTTATATAGACAAACTTTTTCTTTTACAAATTTAGACTATTTTTTACCTGTAAGACTTCATTAAAAAATATTTTACTGATAAGATATGATGGAGTTTTTAAACAAAATTTTTATAAATATAATATTTTTCTTTTTAGTACATAATAAATAATAAATTATTTTTATTCGGTAACAAACCTCAAAACTAAAAATAGAAGAAAAGCTATATATATAATTATGTTATTTCATCCCAGACGATACACTTTTGGAAATTTTAGTATAAAATTTTTCATTATTTTCTGTTTTTAAAAATTAAGTTAATTTGTGTAATAGTGAAAACGTTTGAGAGTGAAAAGGCTTATGAGACAATAATTTTTTAGATGCTAGACAAAACACAAAATGGATATTAGGAAACATAATAAATAAATAAGAATTGGTATGTACCTAAATTATGAAACATGAAAAAACATGTGAACTTGCAATGTGTCTTCTTATATTAGGTCCACTGAGTTATTTGTGGATAAAAACACACAAACGATATTTGAGCTGGACCAATAACCCTGCTTTTGGGCCTTTATTATGAGAAGGAAACAGTCTTTTGGTAGGCTTAAGATGTTTTCTACGAAAAGAAATGGGTCTTTTCAACTGACTTGATCTGTATCATGTTTGCAATGATCAATAAATCTAGAACCCATATGACAAACTTGATCTTTATATAGACTAATTTGCCAAAAGAAAAAAAGAAAGAAAAATAATAATTTATAATTATTTTATGAAAAAAATTAAAGAATTAACTTTAAGAACAAAAAGGATTTTGCAAGGCAATATAAATATATATATATGGAAATAGTTTTTTTTTTACTTCGATATAAAAAAAAATCTTACTTCCTATTTCGATCGTTGATCTTTACTAATCTAACGATTGTAAATTATTAAATTATACTTATTAATTAATTACTAATCTTTAATAAATTACAGTCGACAAATATACGAAAATTAAAGGTTGAAATGAGGAATAAGACTTTTTATTTTTATTTCGGAGTCAAAAAAATCATCCCTTTATACATATATGGATTTATTATTTCTTTTGTCAAAGGAGATAATCCTACAACGTCGGGTTAAGAGAATTAATGAAGGGAGTTACAATAATTTTATTTAGTTTTTTATTATATGAATTTTATCAAAATACTCTTTATTAATTCTTCAAATATCAAAACGATGTAGTTTTGAGATTGCAGAAGATAATATATATATATATATATATATATATATATATATATATATATATATATATATATATATATACGAAAAAATATTTCTGCAGTTATTGCAGATGAGTTATCTGCATTTATTTCCAAAACGATGTTGTTTTGGTATTGGAATCTTAAAAAATTATAAATATAAAGACTATTATAACTCTTGAAATAAATTAAAATTACAAAAATACCATGATTTTCGCCTCAAAACGACGTTGTATTGGACTTACTGCAGATAACTTGTCTGCAGTAACTGCAGAAAAAGTTAAGTCATATATATATATATATATATATATATATATATATATATATATAAAAGGTGCAAATGATGTTAAAATAAAATAAAATATTTTTATTATATTTGTCCCTTTTATCTATTCTTTTTTCTTAGCAACCAAAAATAAAAGAAGATAATGAGATATTTTATAATTTTTTTTTTCGTTTTTTCTTTCTAATTTAAGTATATTTGAACATGGCGTATATGTTACGTGTTACATCATACATAATCTTATGAACTTTGTAAACACAAGAGTTTAAAAAAAAAGTTTAACTTTCATTAACTTAAATCAATGTTTGTGCAATTTAGGATTTTTGTTTTAGGAATACGATATTATTATTATCAAATAATATTATTATCATATTTTAACCGTTGATCATATTATTATCATATTTTAATCGTTAATTTCTGTTAATCAACAATTTTTATTTATTGTGATTTAATAATTAATTAATAAATTTATTTTAAGAAAATAATAATTATTGATGGACAAAAATTAACGATTAAAATATAATAATAATAATATTTAGTAGTAACAATATCATTTCTTTTTATTTATTTTATAACAAAGTAACGAAAAACTCAAAGACACAACAGAAGGCTCAACATAAACCCCACTGATCTCAATTTTGCAACACACAACACACAACACACAATACACCACTCTCTATCTTTGTTGCTCCTCTCTCTCTCTCTCTTCCATTGCTGGTTGCTGCGACCAAGGTAGCGGCGGCGACTAGGAAGTAAACCCCAATTACTTGTCATATTCGCAGTCACTCATTCCATTAACTGGAAAACAAGGTAATGCCCCCTTCTCTTTAATTCCTCATCACTACACTACGCATCATTTTTCCCCCATTTGGATCTCCTCTCTCTCTTCAGCGATCTTTTCTCTGCTCGCAATTCCTCTCAGAAGTTTCAATACCTGGTTTTTTCCCTTCAATTCGGTCTTTTTTCGCCCCCTTATTAATTATAATTTGTATAACACGAAAAGGGTGGAAATTTAGGGTTTTGACTTTACACCCAGAAGCCAATTTTCCAATTCTGGCACGGATTAGTAGAAAAAACTCTCTGGGAAAGTTGAGATTGTTGGAAGGGGATTCACTTTCACAAGTATATTTAAATTGGAGTGTAGATGTATTTGTGGGTTGATCTGTAACTGTGAGCCCTTTATCTCTTGAATTTCAAGGTAGAAATTTACTACCTGACAATCCATGTCAGAGGCCATATTCTTTTTGAATCTGTTCTATGTATACTTGAATGATAGACCTTGGGTAAATGTTTGTCTCAGATTCATCGGTGTAATCCGTGTGTATCCAGAAGTTAGGTATAAATTTGCACAAAAGAACAAAAATTTTAAATCTATGATTAGTTTTTCTGGATAAGTAATGTTATATATTGTGCGTTGGGATTTTTCATTTGATCCAGGTTTTTTTTTGTTCCCACTAAATTTGCAGAATTTACAGGCTTGATGGCAGCGAAGTTGCAACAGTTGCAGTCTAAAGCATGCGAAGCATCAAAATTTGTTGCCAAGCATGGAACTTCATACTACAAGCAATTGATGGAGCAGAACAAGCAATACATTCAGGAGCCACCTACGGTGGAGAAATGCGACCAGCTGGCAAAGCAATTGTTGTACACCCGCCTAGCTAGGTTATATTTTCTCCAACCTTTTTTTTTTTAAACAAAAAAGACACGATGTTTGTTCAGTTATAATTGAGTGTATTAGATCCTTTAATTTGATATGATTGATGCCAGTGTCTTGTTGATGTCAGATAATGTTGGTGACATTCTTTATGAGAGTTGGCTGTTGCCCTTTATGTTTAATAGCTCCTTCCTTTGCCTGAATTTTTACTGTTGAAATAAAGAGACAAATAAAGGACTAGTATCCTTTGTTTTTTCTAGCAAAGAGCTTCTGGAACGCTGAACTGCAATTGCATTTTTAGTCATTACCTCAAAATGAACTCTTAAGAGGCAACTTTCGAATTTTCAAGACAACTAGAATTGATTGCTCTCAGGTGAAAGGAGCGTGTATATATATATTTATTTATTTTTTCCACACCCTTTTTATTTTTACTTATATATATATATATGGAAAAAATATGTTTACATCCACTTTAAATAAGGTTATCTACAGCTACCTCAAAAATTACGTTGTTTTGATTAATGAAGAGTGTTTCTGTAATTTTAGGTGAATTAATGAAAGGTGTTTCAATAAAATGAATATGATAAAAAAATAAACAAAATTACAGAAACACCCTTCATTATTCAAAACGACGTAGTTTGTGGGGTAACTGTAGATAACCTTATCTAAAGTGGCTGTAGAAATTTTTACCCATATATATATATATATATATATATATATATATATATATGGGGAAGGAGCATATCAGGTGAAAGGTGAAAATGAGCTAATCTTGACCATTTAATCTTACATGGATGGTCTAGAACTCTAGATTAAATTCATTTAAGTAAAACATACCTTGACCATGCATATATATATGGTAAAATCATATCTAAAGTTGTTGTACGTGCAGCAATGACAGGTGTATAGTTATGATTCTCCATATTTAAGGCTTTCACCTTTTGTATGATTATAATTCCTCACATTAAATGCTTTAACCTATATATATGGAAAATTTGTCACTGTTGCACGTAAAGTGGCTGCAGAAAAATCGAACCCTATATATATACATATAATATTGATTGTGTGATATGAATTAGATGCTGCTCATAATGTGCTTGTGATGCTTGATAATCACCTGTCTTTTTAGTCTAGAGCTTGATTGTTAATTGATGTAAATGTGGCCCACAGCCTACACTACATTATTTTATGCTTATCTATTAACATATGTTTGAATATGCTTAATAACAGTGTGTTTCTAAGTTTCTACCAGGATCTTCAAATCAGACTTGCATTTCAAATTATTATGTGCCTTAGCTCCCATCTTTTATGAATAGCTAAGCGAGAGGCTGTGAATTTTGAAAACTTTTGTGCTTGTTCTTGAATGTCGTCACTTACCAAGTGGTTTTGTGTTTTTTCTTATAGCAAATCGAGGTTGTTATATGTAAAATTCTTTACGTTATATTAGTGTTTTGCTACTATGCATAACTCTTCCAATTTTTTTCAGTATTCCTGGTCGTTATGAGTCCTTCTGGAAGGAGCTTGATTATGTCAAGAATTTATGGAAGAACAGGCAAGACCTAAAGGTGGAACACGCAGGTATTGCTGCTTTGTTTGGCTTGGAATGCTTTGCCTGGTATTGTGCTGGTGAGATTGTTGGAAGGGGATTCACTTTCACAGGTTATTATGTCTGAAAATAACCACAAATAACAACTTGGAAGTGTATGTTTTAGCAGGGGGGTTTTATGCTCCTAAGCCAGCTGCTCTGGTCATTTATACGTTGAGTGAATTATGGGGCATTCATTCCACACCCCAATTTTTGTTATTTTGGATTTTTGTTTTTGGGAAAAAAGCTGCGAAACTAGTGGTTAACTTTGATAAGCCTCAATAACCCCCTTTTATTTGAGGCGGGATGGACCATGCATTGTTCTCATATCATGTTGAAAGTTAGTGGTACTCGAGAATGATGATACTACTACAATAATTTTATTTTATTTTTGAAAAAATATTTGGGATAACCTTTTTAACCTCAGCTCTGAAATGAAGTTAAATTCTGTTCATATTTTTCGTAATTTTTCAGGCTTGATGTTGAATTTGGGTTAAGCCACATGCCGGCGAACTTGCGTATCTAAAAGCATGTGACTTGATGATTGTTATCATTAGTTTTTTAAGCTGAGAGAACTGTATCATGAAGTGATAGTATTTTACTAGGACGTATAATTTTCATATTATATGATATAATTGAAATGAAAACTGCTGCATTATATAAAGCAAACATTTGATAGGCAGAGCAATGTGGTTTACTTCATCATGAAGGTGGCTTTTTGACATGGCTTAAAACTTTTCGAGGCCTTTGTCTTGAAAGGTTCTGCGGAGTTTCGCTCACTCGCGCAAGGAAAAGTAGCCCCTGAGGGATCGTGATGATTTTGGATTTCCAAAATCATCTATGTTCTTTTTGATGCGAAATCACCTGCTCTGACAATTTTATTTTAAATAAGTATTTCTAAATAATATATATCCTTTTTTCTTTTATACTACGTTTAATTGTGCATTCCAGAACAGATTTTTTAATAATGTTTATTTGCACAAGTTTGATATTTTCAACTTTAATGTTATGAACACGGTTTCACACAAATGTACTCAGCAACTCTATTTAATTGTGCATAATTTTGTTAGAATATTATCGTTATCGAATAAATAAACACTCCTATTTACTTTAACTTATTTTCGGAGTTGTAGCATTACTCTGTTATGTAAAGATTCTATTATAATGGACAAATAAATATATACGAAAATAGTATTATAGTTCATTAGCTGTAAGACAATTGTAGCTGATATAAACTTCACCACCATAAATATAAATAAGTGAAAATAAAAATTATTCTATATCTGACGATCCGTAAATAAATTTTTTTTTTTTTGTTAAGCAATTATATTAGTTAATTTAAGAGGTCAATTGGATAAATAAATATTAAATGATAAATAAATGTTCATTAAAAAACTGTATGAATTGCTGAATTTTCTGTTCATGATACCAAAAAAAGAGAATTATAGTTTTATGACTCTGAGTTGAGCCTAAATTTAACGAAGAGAAAACGGCTTTTGGTAATTGTAGAAGATAAAGAATGGAGGGATGCATGTGGTAGCTAAATATATCTGAAGGGTGGTTTGGTAATTTGGGAAAAACCAAACGAAACGAAACAAAAGCGTTAGAATTTTGTATAAAAAAAAAAGCGTTAGAATAAAAAGGTTGGGAGAGGAGACTTGAATGTGAACCAATCACGACTCTTTCTTCTTTTATTCCCACAAAAATGGTTGGCCACATTATATCACGCGCCACCGCCGCATTCGCCATCCTTTCTCTTCTCCTCTCCGCCGTCGTCTCCGCCGAGGTAACTCCTCTCTTCTCTTTCATTCATAAATTAACATCGTACCTACACCTACATAGGATTTATGTAATTGGATTCGGAGCATATGAAAAGCGTTGACCTTTTTTTATGATTATTGTTGGGGACAGGCCACGTGTAGCAAGAAATGTATTGCAGAACAATGCGACAGTAAGATTCAATTCAATTCCCTTAATTGATATTCTGTTATTCCATTTTATGATATTTGTTTTAATAATGTTGACACAAAGATTAATAATAATTACTACAGCGATCGGAATCAAATACGGCAAGTATTGCGGGGTGGGTTATTCAGGTTGCCCTGGCCAGAAACCATGTGATGATCTTGATGCTTGTTGCATGGCTCATGATGACTGTGTTGGCAAATTCGGTATTTCTCTTTTTTTCCTTCTTTCTCTTTATCATTCAAGTACAATGCATTCATTCACACATATGATATATCTGTCATCTGATCAATGTTACCATTAAGGTTTTTTTTATGTGTCTCAGCACATTTTAGAGCTAAACCACTTACCGTTAAACTTGACTATTGAGTGTGGGATGGAAGAAATCTTTGTACGCAGCCTTACCTTTTATCATGTAAAGAAGCTGTTTCCTGAATTCGAACCCATGACCTTTCAGTCATGAATGAACAATTTTATCACTGTTTCGGTTCGCCAAAAACCACTCCCCATTAAATTCGACTAACGAGTGTGGGGTGGAGGAAATCCTTGTACGCAGCCTTACCTTTGCATAATTGCAAAGAGACTGATTCTCGGATTCGAATCCAGACATTTTACAGCTGCTGAAAAATAATTCAAGTGTACATTTTGCACAATGGTCCAAATTGGTGGTGTGATCCTTGTTTGGTTTATGTTATTGAATTCTTGAGAGTTTGTTGCACACATGTAAACAGTGTTTATGTCTTTCCAAAATTGCCTTTTTCTGTTTGTATTATCAGGAATATGAGCCTTCTAACTAAATTTCTTAGGGTGGTGTTTTTGTTGAATCAATTCTGTAAATTGTTCAAATGGGAATTCCAATTCTTGGTGTGTATTTGAACTCTTGAAAGCCTGTTGGAATGGGTATTCTATTGTCAGAGACTCAGAAATTTGCTATTTTGCTATATGCGGAAATGCCATTCTCCTCTATGATTTTCTGTTAGCTTGAGACCTTTCTCTTCAAGAAGATTGCATTTGACTAATTAAACATGGTTTTACAGGAATGACTCATGTGAAATGCCATCAGAAGTTAAAGACTTGCCTAACCAAGGTACAGAAATCTGGCAAGGTTGGATTTTCCAAGGAGTGTCCCTACGGTACAGCTGCGCCTACTATGATAAGAGGCATGGACTTGGCCATCTTGCTCAGCCAATTAGGTGACAATGTTCATCATGATCTATAATATTAAGTCTAACCCCCTTATTATAGTCCATCCGCATTAACAAATTTCTCTTGATTCGGGAAAATTGATCTTATGATCCTGTTGAGCCTGGTTAAGCTACTGTTTTTCTTCTAATATGTTGCTATTTGATTTAATTCATTGTATCACAAAAGAATCCAATAGTTTCTTTGCTCAAGGTTCTATCATTGTAGGAAGAAAATAGAAAAATCGTTTTCACAGAGCGATGAAATAGTTAAAGCAAAACATTTCGTTCGAACTTATTTCAACGTGACCAGCTTAAAACTTGATTAAAGCAAAACATTTTCCACAAACTTATTTAAAGGGGAACTATATAAAATTAAGAGCCTATTTGGATCCTCTTTTTTAAGCTAGAAACTACTTATAAGTTAAAGCTAAAAAAAAAGTTTAAAAAAAAACTAAAAGTTATTTGATAATTATTTAAAAATTTTAGTTTAAAAATTACTTAAAAACACATATTTCAAGAAAACTTTCTCTTTATTTCTATAGCTCTTTTTAAAAAAAAAATATACAATTCAAGAAAAGTTTATAAGAGCTTAAAGGGCTTTTAGCTTTTTTTTTCATTATAAAAAAAAGTTTTTCATTATAAGAGTTTTTTTCAAAACCTGTTTGGCCCAACTTCTGCTTATACGTAGTTTTTAGCTTAAAAAATAAGATTCAAATAGACACTAAATATAGGTTATACTTACTAGCATTTTAGACTTACCATTTTTATTACCTAATTGATTATTGTTGGATTAATTTTAAATAACCAGTGTTGTTAAACCCGACTTGGGCATCGACCTAGTCGGGATACTGAGTCACTGGGTCACTGGTCGTGGGACCGGTTGACCCAGATAGATATAAATATATAAAAATAAAAATAAATATGAACATATAAATTCAATTATATTCTCCATATCTAAAATGAATTAAACAAGGTTCACTAAATAAGCTAAAAATCATAAAGTATAAATAAATAAAAATGCATGCTATTATTATGTTTATTTAAATTGCAACTCAGAATTTCCATAAACATACATCTCAATGACATTGAACTCATATTTTTCAAATTGAACTACATTAAAATGACATATGTCATATTCTCTAATTTATTATTCCGCAAATTGCTTCAGTATTGAAAACTAAAATTTGAGGTCATTGTAGAAGAGTATACTAGCAACTAAAATTACAAAAAGTTTTTAAAATGAGTTTAACATTTTTTTTTTGATAAGATGAAACAGTTTTGATTTCTTGGTTTTTTTTTTTTGTTAAAAAGATGCATGACCCGATCAGGTTATCAGTTTTGACCGAGTTTTGCTGATTTTGTCCGAATTTTGATACTTGACCCGAATCGATAAGATGATCGGTTCACCGGATTCCAGATCAACCCAGCGTGATTTAAAATTGATCCGATGACCAATCAAGGCAATAAATATGATAAGGTTAAAAAGGTGGCAAATATAACCACCTAACACAACATGGCATCTTGTGGTTACATGAGGCTGTCGTTATTTCACATTCATGACTCTCTATTGCAGTATTGCCACATTCCAACTATTCATTTATAGAAAACTAGTGTAAAATTGACGGAATAACACAATACTTTATTTCTCTATCTTGGGGATTGGGGAGGCAATGACTTGCAATAATGATTCGAAGAACTTGTGACATGATTTCGCTTTCTGTGACAAGGAAGACTGGCGGAAGTTAGATCAGATCATCCAACTAATCTGACGGCAAACTTTAAATACATAGATGGAAGTAATATTATCAAAATTATTTTACATGTTTACAAAATTCAAAAATTGTTAATTTTTAAACTTATGCATTATCATATAAATTTTTTTTACACAAGTCTATTTATAATTGGGGGAGGGTTATGTTTATATTTTTTTTAGGAACTCTTATAAGTTACACTGTATATTTCGAGGAGTATACTCACTTAAAAATATATTTTCCGAAGTACATAATTTAATTTGTAAATAAAAATATTCGTAAATATAATTTATCCCTTATAATTGATGTGCATATCGTGTTATGATAAGTATTTAGATTTTTTTTATTCCAATGACATTTTCATAATTTTATGTTTTTAATTATATTTTTAGAGTAAATTAAGACCATATAAAATAATGTTTCAGATTTCTGTTGAGGGTGGTTAAACATTTCTTATTTATTTCGATAATCATATTTGAGACCGTGCATTTTTTTTTTTTAATTTCAGTTTTCTATTTGGTCTAACTTTTTTGTGTTTGACATTGTGAATGTAATAATTTTTAAAAAAATATCCATATAATTTTATCTATTTCTTTTGGCATTCCCTTTATATAATTTTATCTACTAAATAAAGATCAATTGTCAATTGTCAATGCTTACAAAAAAGAAGAAGAAGATCAATTGTCAATGATTTTTGTTCTTTAATTTTTACTCATTAATTTTTTTTTTTTAAATATTCTAATCTGTTCATTGCTTTGCAACTATCTGATTCTGGGCGGGTCCAAGATTAAGACTTTAAATCTCTCCCAAAGGTGGTACTGAGGAGATTCGAACACATGTTCTCACCTCCACCTGTTTAGCTCCCATACGTCAATTGAGCTACTACCATTTGATTATTTTTACTCGTTATTAGTTAGCACAATTACGAAAATTAAGTTTACGTAGGACATATTTACCAAAAAAAAATAAAAAAAATTTACATAAGACAAATTCTATAAAAGTAATTATACATATTGAACATTGAATTTTGTAATTATTTCATATTTTGCCAATTGAATTTCTAGAACAAAGTAAAAAGATCAACTGTCTTACCTGTCACACAAAAAGGAAAAACTGTTGAAAATCTAACAGATTGTTGTCACTTGTCAGGCAGTAACGGCAGACATGTGTATTATTAAATTAACATATCAAGACTCAAGAGCTAAGATATGTATTAGCCCAAAAATAAACTAGTAAAAATAATAAATAAATCGAAAGAAAGAAGAAAAATAAATAAAGGATATAATATAAAAGTACGTGGAGTGAGACCATATAAATAGATCACTAGAAAAATACAAATTTTATAATTTTTATGTAAAATAAAATAAAATTATCTCATATATATTAAAATGATAGGATATCGTAACAACCAATTAGTGTTACTATTAATATTATTACCAATCAATTTCACCATTAGATCGATTATGTTGATCCAACGATTATACTTATTTTCATCGTTGTATGGTTATGTTTCCTCCTATTTAATGTGAAAACATTAAATATGAAAAATCATAACCATACAAAGATGAAAATAAATATAAAGTATTAAATTTGAAGAATCATAACCATACAAAATGAAAATAAATATAATCGTTGGATCAACATATCAAGCTAACGATGAAATTGATTGATAATAATACTAATTAGTTGTTACAATACCCTTCTCTTATATTAAAAATTAAATCTCAAAATAAATTGAGGGGAGGGAAATGTGAGGTGAGGTCCATGAGTTATTTCCATGCACCTTCCCATACGCAATTTACTCGTTTGCGTAGAAATTTAAAAAAAAAAAAAAGGTTTCTTCCATTCCTAAGCGTTTGTCGCGTTTGGACGAAAGTTCAATTCCATAATATTATACTCGTTTCGTATTCCCTCTTCCTTCGCTTGCAAGATCCAATTCTCTTTTTCTTCTCCTTCTTTGTAACAAAGCACAAACCAAAACTTCTTTAGTGCTTTGATTTTAAAAGATCACTGATTACTGATTAGAGTCCCCACAATCCCTTCAAGCATGTTGCATAAAAGCTTCAAGCCAGCGAAGTGGTACGACTTCAATCGATTTCACTTCGTAAGGTTTTGATTCGAAGCAATAGTTAGAGGATAGGATTTTGTTGATTTGAATTTGTTTTTGTTTTTGTTTTGTTTTGTTTGCTGCAGCAAAACGGCATTGAAGCTCGCCGTTTCACGGATAAAACTTTTGAAGAATAAGAGAGAAGCTCAGGTGAAGCAACACAAGAGGGAGTTGGCTCAATTGCTTCAGTCTGGTCAGGACCAGACTGCTAGAATCCGGGTAACAAAAATTAACCTTAAATCAAATCATAAATTAAAAAAAAAAAAAAAAAAAAAACACCTTTTCATTAATTTACTTTTTGTTGTTTTTCTTAGGTGTTATGTCACAGTTGATAAGAAAGAAATGATGAATGATAAACTAATTGTTTTCTTTGTCTTTTTTTTGTGTGTGTTCAGGTTGAACATGTTGTAAGGGAAGAGAAGACCATGGCAGCTTATGATCTTGTTGAGATATACTGTGAACTTATCGCAGCACGCTTGCCCATGATTGAATCACAAAAGTATTTGAATTGAAACTCAGAGATATTAATTTTTAGCACGTTTTAATTTTGCCTATATTATTTTTTCCAAGTGTGTTTGTTGTCTATTTATTATTTTAGGGGGAATATCATCTTTTCTTTTTTCCTTTTGTAAATTGATCTGCCTGGAATCCTTTTAATTGTTTACTGCTTTTTTTATGGATAATGTTATATATATAGGTAAAATCATATCTAAAATTGCTGTACGTGCAGCAATGACAGGTGTATAGTTATGATTTCTTATATTTAATTCTTTCATCTTTTGTAAGATTATGATTCTTCAAATTAAATGTTTTAACCTATATATATATATAGAAAATTTGTCCCTGCTGCACGTAAAGCGTCTGCAAAAAAATCGCACCCATATATATATATATACACACACACACACATATATATATATATATATATATATATATATATATATATATACTTAAATCTTATTTTTATCCTTTTCTCAAACTTTCTGTACCTTTCATTTGGGTTCATTTAGCACCGATCCCAAGTTTGGGATAAAGGTGTTATTGATGTGGATGTTGAAATTGATTTGCCTGGAAGTTTATATTCTGTAATTTGGGCAGTACCACTGAATTTGCTTATGTGATTAATTTTTTTAGGATTTGTCAACAAACTGTGTGATCACTTTAGGAGAATCTAATTCTATTATACTTTGAAGAGTAAAAGATACTTGTTTAATTGAGGTGGTTCTAGTCAGTAGTCAGATTAGGGCTCGATTAGAGATGTAGCAAATTATGTTAAATAAACAAGGGGCTGGCCTTGACCCTTGAGCCAATTTAACATCTCGGTATCTAGTATCTCAGTCCTGGTAATTCTGATCCCATGTGAAAACTATAGGCTTTATACCAAGATATATACCATTTATCAATGAGTTTTTATTTGCATTAAGATATTATGGGAGAATATTAAATCGTGAATTCGGTTCAATAGCAAAGCCCCTGGATCAAAACCTTCCTCAACTGATTATGTAACATGCTAGTGACACCTTTTAGCTTTATTCCTAATGATTTGAGGCATGACAGCCGTGACTTACTGAATTTTCAGCTTTGTTGTTAAAATCATGTTTAAATTGGTGTTTTATTTCAGTCATTCACATAAATATTTGTGATGCCAACACTTATATCTTTATTTTGTCTTCTGCTTTGACCTTGTGTGTGTCTGAAGGGATTTCTGCATGATGGTTTTTCTTTTTGAAACTATTGATCTTGCAATCTATGAGTTTGTGGATTATGATTGTGCATTCTGATTGCAGTGATCTCATTATCATTTTCTTTTTTAAACTTTTTCAGAAATTGCCCCATCGATTTGAAGGAAGCAGTCTCAAGTGTAATATTTGCATCTCCAAGATGTTCAGACATACCTGAGCTCATGGATGTCAGGAAGCTTTTCACGTCTAAGTATGGAAAAGAATTTGTCTCAGCTGCTGTTGAATTACGCCCTGACTGTGGTGTGAATCGCTTGGCAAGTTTCTCTACCTGCTTGAAGTTGGATAGGAGCATGTCAAAGCTCACTTTTTTTTCTTCTAATTTAATGTTGTCTTTTCAGTTGGTTGAGAAATTGTCTGCCAAAGCACCCGACGGTCCGACCAAGATAAAAATACTGGCTGCAATTGCCGAGGAGCATAATATCAAATGGGAACCCAAATCATTTGGAGAAAATGATGCGAAGTTTTCTCAAGATTTGTTGGTAGGCTTTGTTCATATGGATTTTCTTTAGTTTCTATTAATATAAAATATACGTTTTTTGTGTTATATTAATTTTGACATTACTTATATGTTTAGGTTGGGCCAAGTACATTTGAGAAGGCTACTTCCGTGGAACCTTCTCAAGTCCATGTTCCACCTGTTCATGATGAAAAGGGTCCTCCTAATTTACATGCTTCCGTGCAACTTAAACCAATGCATGATGCATCTACAAATTCATATGAGCAGAATGCAAGTGGTTCTGCTAGAAAGGCCGGTGGAAAACAGTCAACAACAGCAGGCATGTCTAATCCAGAAATCAGATCTTCAGGTAATTTTTATAGACAGTACTTGCAAATGGATTTCTGGGCTTCTGTCCTTCTGTTCTGTGTGTTAGCTTAATATTTAGAATTTTTTTTTACAGGAACTGGAAGTCAAGAAATGGATTTTAGAGATCCATATTCTGAAAACAGGAGTGATTTTCCTATGGGTAGGCAGAATAGGAAAATGGAATTCAAGGATGCTGCCTCTGCTGCGCAGGCAGCTGCAGAATCTGCAGAACGTGCAAGCATGGCTGCAAGAGCAGCTGCTGAACTTGCTGAACTTTCAAACCGTGAAAACATGACGAGGCAGTATTCAAGTGGATCACATAGTTCTTCTGGCGGCGGGTTAACAGATGAAGTACCTCAAGAATATGCTTTTCATGATGAAAAGCATCTTTCTACAGGTTCTGTTTATAGCACTTTCCATAGAGGCAGGCCTGGGATGCACAATGAACAAATTAGTGCCAGAGAACAGCATAACCTGGTAGGAACGCCCAATGAATATTACAGGAATAGTCATGAGAATGGGGGTAAACATGCCCAGTCAGCTTCATTGATGTCGGGTAGTTCTTTTGGTGATGAGAAACCACTTACCAAGAGTTCCCAAATGGCTGATATATATCAGCATAATAACTCATTTGAGCAAGAGAATAGTTACTTGCATGAAGTGAGCATGAAAAAGCAAGCAAGCAGAACTGAAGAAGATTTCGTGACCGAACTGCATGGTGATGGTGATTTGAATTCCGAAAACAATTATCACTTTGGAGATGCATGGACAAACAGACAATCTAGAAGAGCTTCTTCGTCTCATCTCATTACTCCAAATGATGATCACAATGATAATTTGACCTCGAATGATTGGAAGATGGGGAACAAAGCTGCGGAAGACCTTTTTGTTACTGATGAAGTAAACACTCAGAGAAACACTGTGGAAACAAGTTCTTATAATGACACTTCTGTTTTATTTGATGATTCTGGATCAGAGGAGGATGATTATAAATTTGATGTTGATAAAAAATACAAGGCTGAGGGATCTGGTTTGTTTGTCTCTTCTCCTGGTGGCAAATCACAAGTTGATACATTCGAAAATAAAAATTCTTGGAACCATGGACAAAACATTGACAAGAAAGAGACAAGTTCCAGTACACAGTCTCATTTTTCTGTGGTTTCTGAAAGATTGAATAAGTCTGCAGTTTCTTCTGAAAAAGAAGACTCATTGGGTGTCACTTTTGATGATTCGGATGACCAAGGTTCAGATAGTGAGTTGGATTTGGTTAAGTCTGATGTTTCTGGGACCTTTAATTATGGGAATTCTGTCCTTGATCAGATTGCAAACCATGGGGCTCTGGGGTCCTCATCAAGAAATGATAAAAATGTGGGTACTGACACAAAGTCTTGGTTGTCACCATCTCCAGTTGGTTCAAATATCGTGGAAGAACATTCTGAGAGAAAGGTAGACGACAATACTGTGTCAGAAAAGAATTTTGGCTATGATGATTCGCCAAGCAGTCGGTCATCTTCAAAAGGAAGAAACTCTATATTAGGTTTGGATCTGAAGGCAAACATCCATGCACCGCAGTCACCTGATACTTTGAATGATACTGAAGCTTTGGAGGAATCTCGTATAGAAAGTGGTAAGGAATTAAACTATGGAACTTTGAAGGGTGGTTTTCGTAATAAAGGTTATAGGCGACCACCTTATATTAAGAATACATTGGATGAGGTTTCATCTTCATTGGGGGACATTTCAGTCCAGAATGAAACATCTTTGCCTTCGGTGAGGACTTCAATCACTTCTGATGCTCCTGTTCAGGACAAATACACGAGGGAAGTGAGCAGAGGAAATAGAAATGTTGGCTTGAGAGCAAACAACAGAGCTTCTGATTCTGATAGTTATGATCTGGTTGCAAGCTCAGAGGAGATTGTTACTAGTACTCATGAACCTCGCATTCAGAAAAAGCAAAGTGAAGCAAAAAAGAAATCAGTTACATACTTTGATTCTGATAATAGTGATTCTGAGGATGGACATCCTAAACAAAATTCAGCTATTCTGGCCCGTCCTGTTGGTGGAATATCTCGAAGGACATCAGCTTCTTCAAAAACTGGTACGGGTTTGAGTTCGAAGGATGCTCCTGTGACTCGTGGTGCAGGACTTGGATGGAAATCTTCAGGGGTTTCTTTTGAGAGTAAGAATCAACAGGCCTCATCCACAATGAAGAGCTCTGAAAATTGGGCAGGTTCTAATCCTGGATCAGCAGAAAAGGAAGCATCTAAGCCAATTTCAGAACCAAATAGATCCTTGAATGAGGAAATTAGGAAATCATCTGCAAGGGTGCAACCTTCAAGTTCTCTTCCTGAAACAGTGATACAAGATAGTGAAGTGGGCCAAGAGGCTTCAAAATCTTCAAATTCTGATGTAGATACTCCATCTAAGCAGACGGCTGGTCACGTTCATCCAAAGTTACCTGACTATGATTCCTTTGCTGCACACTTCATGTCTCTCAAAAAGGGTCGTCAATAAATTTCACTTGCTTGTGCATAACAACATGGCTTCTCGTAATTAGTCTTAGTGGCTTATCTTTCTTTTACAGGCTGTATTGTTACATATAGATGCGTGATTTAATATTCAAATTACATGAGGAATAAAGATGCTACATGATTTATTTATTTTTTTTTATTTTTTTGAGTCGAGGTATAGGTTTTACTATCTCATTTTTGGTACATCCTTATTTCAGGACTGCTACAAATAGATGAATATTTCGTGTTGTATATATTCATTTGTACACTTTATTTATCACTTTAGTTATATGTTGGCAGGATTATTTCAGAAGTAAATGTTTACGGTTGAGGCCATTTCATTAAGTCAACTTACGTGGCATTTGAACCTAGAGTAAGGTGGCGTTTGGATTTATTTATTTATTATTAGTTTATATAACTTTATTTAATTATAAAAATGTTATTTTATCTTTACATTCCTACCCAATTCTAAGATGTTGTTAAGGAAATGGTAAAAATTATATTATATTGCTTTTACTATTTTATTCTATTTGTTCTGAACATTCTATTTTTTTTTTTTGGGAAGAAGGGAAAAACGAATAGAATTTTTATAATTATTAAATGAAAAAATGTCAAATAAATTGAGAATAAAATTTAAACCAAACACCACTCCATTGAAGAATTTGCTTAAATCCACTTTCTACGTGAGAAGTTGAGATGTTAACTTAAATACAAATCAAGTTTGTATTATCAAAATGTTGTCATCTCAGCTATGTTAGAAATCATAATTCATTTTATTGTCACATTATCAAACAGAACTATTCTTAAAAATGGACCAAATTGACTAAAGCAGTAACTTAATAAATTAATATTTAAAAACTTGACATTGGGTTTAAAGAATTTGAGAACAAAAGCAAAATAAATAAAAGTTTTAAGAAACTAGTATAAAATAAGTAAATTTCATAAGATAAAGTAACATTTTATTGTTTGACAGACCAGTCGCAAATGTTTTTTTTTTCCCTAAACTTTTTGAAAACCTTGTATTAAATGGTTTCAAGTGAAATTAAATAATTTGAAATAATGTTTCTTAAAAATGTTAAATTAAAGATCTTATAATGAACTTAAATAAATTATCAAATGATGGTAGCTCAGTTGATGCATGAGAGATGAGCAAGTGAGATGAGAGCATGTGTTTGATCTTTTCCAATATTATTTCTGAGAGAAGTTTAAAGCCTTAATCCTGGACCTATCATGAACAAGATTGTCTCCCATGAAAAATACAGGTAATTTATCTATAAATAAATAAAATAAAATTGAAAATAGACTTTTCTATAAAAAAAATATTTCACATGTTGACATTAAATAAATAAAGACTTCCTTTAACATACAGCACATAAATGATCAAATAGTTAAAACTATATCAAACTTTGCAGAATCAAATGATAAAAACGTTATATGAACTCATAATTTATTCAATTTAATTAGTTTTTGAATTTGGTTCTTTTAACATGGATAAGCACTCTGCTGTAAGAATTGTAATGAATATCTGGACATAGATGAATCCAGGTGATAATTAAACTTATACATTTAGGAATGATAGCAATATTTGGACTTTTTGACCCTTTTGTCTCTCATTAATTAAAAAATAACCAATTTTTTCATGACCTAAAATATTCCATCAATTGCTCCTATTTGGCCGTTGACCGAAAATTTAATCGATTACAATATGAGCGTAATCGATTAAACATTAAAAAAAACCTTAACTTTTGTCCACGCAAGTTAACCGATTACACTAGTCGATTAAATTGTGGCAGAAGTAAAATTAAGGGGGAAAAAATTCAAGGTTGAAAAAAATATGAAGCCAATATGAAAATAGCCAAAAATTTCGTTCAAGAGCATCACTTCCATTCATGTCTACAAGGACCTTGCGACGAATAAATTTTTATTACTACTGTTGCACCAAAGATTCAGTGCATTCCATCATTGGGAGCATTACATGTCAGTCAAAATTCTCTTTTCTATGCTAAATTTTTTTCTCTCCTCTGATGTGTAATGCTCCCATTGGTGGGATGCACTGAATCTAGATGCAATAGTAGCACCAAATATTTATTCCTTCGCGACGGGGAGGTCTCTTTGTTACGGTTACGTCAACTTCACCTCTCCCCAGGGGCGGATCTACATGGGGGGTTAGGATGGGCTCCCGCCTTCCTCTAAAATATAAAAATATGTTCTACTATATTATGTGTAACATGGTCTAAAAAAGAAAAATTTTGAAAGTGCTTTTAAAAAGAGAAAGACAAGCAATGTTATTTATAAGAAAAATGTTTCACCCGTTCATTGCACCCAATTAGAGATAACTATTATTTATCAGATTCAACCTGCCAATATATATGGCAGTTTTGTTCTTGGTCTGCTACCCTCCCCAATCAATGTAGAAAGTTGGTTTTTTCGTTGTATACAAAGAAGAGTTCAGCTAGTATGCATATTCACTCTACCTGTCAAATTTGTCTAGAATTTGATTTTATATTGATTGATTATCTAATTTTCTTTTTATAATCATTTAAAATTTGAACAGATTGTCATGTCAAAACTCAAGAGAAGAGTATTTAAGTTTTGACTTTGTTGGCAAAGAAAAAAGCTCAATAATAGTTATCAATTATTAGTTGGGACCAAATGCTAAAAATAAAGAACATACTAATTAATTTACTGTGTCTTCTGCTAAATAACAATTAAGGGAGAAAATAAGATTCTAACGAAATTAAAGAAAGTGTAATTATAACACCAGAAGGCACGAAGGTAAACAATAAAAAATTGATCTTACAAATAAAATATAGGGTCTTAAGGCTAATTCTTCATTGAAATAGAGGGTGCAGTGGACCACTGTTATCGGAAACAAAAAATTGACATTCCAACCAAAAAATTGGCAAAAAATTCTGTAAATTTATTAGGTTATTTTTAATAGGTATTTTTATATTCTTAGCGTGATCATCCAATTAAAACTGGCATTACCTTTTCATAATAATAATATAAATTTTCGTCGCCCGTGGTACACGGGATACAGAGAGATAGTAACTTGTTCTTCAGTTTCCTATTGCCTGTAATATGTGTGCAGTGTCAATTGCAATTCCTTGATATCAGCTCTTTGCAAGCTGCTCTGCCAGATTCCCAGTTACCACCCACCTTATATAGTGGTGTTGCTGAACCATAGCTCCCTCAAAATACAGTGAACCCTTATATTTCCTCTGTAGGACAAGGTTTTATTTTAAGGGCTTTGGATTCATCATGCAACAATATTAATTTTTTTTTTCCTACAAAGAAAAGATAAAATAAATAATAATAAAAAAAGTTGAAGAGGCACACCATTCAATGACTTTGCCTTGTCTTTAGTAGTTGCATGACATTAATTTTATACCTATAACATGATTCATATTTATCCCTTTATTTTATATAGTTGAAACTTGAAACTATATAAAACCTTAAACCCAAAACTTTAAAACTATAAGTTTATGTTTTTTTTTTTTTTTTTTTTTTATAATTTTTATAGTCTCACTTAATTCATTTGTATTTTGTAACCTACTTCAAATTTTATCAATTACACTTAAACAAAGTTGACAAGTGTTAGCTATAAATTACGACTATTTTTAATGGCTTAGTCTTTATAATATTTGAGGTGAAGGCTGGATATTAGTGCATGGTAAGGGGCCAAATGAGTGCCAATCAGCCCAAAGGTAAAAAAGAGAGAGAAAGAGGTAATTTGATGATTTACTATTCTCTTTTATTATTTTTACTGCAGTTTGAAAGCAAGATCAATTCTTTGAAAGCAAGATCGAATCTGAACCATTGGATGAACAAAGAGATGGATGGACAGCAATGCATTTTGAGGCAGCTTTTTAGTTTTTAGTTAAATAGGAGTCTGAGTCATTAGGGTCAGACACCGTTCTTTAGTTACAGTTTTTAGTTTGAATCTTTGTAATTTCGTTCTTTGAATCTGAGTGTTGAGAAATTCCTTGAAAGCTGGATGCTAATTCTTCAATTCTTGTACTCGAAGTGCATTGACAACGCACCTTCAAGGAAAGGAACCGCGGATCTGCATACGAGCTACTGTTTTCACACTTCTGCACGCTTTCTTCCTAGCTCTAGTTTAGGAACCTTCACTCTTGAAGAACCGGTTTGTAACTTGACTTGAGTTTTCTTTAATGAATGTTTGTAAAGCTTGTTTCTTTACTTTTAGATTTGTAATATTTTTGAATATGGGTTTCTGATCTTTTCCTTTCTGGGATTCACGATGATTGGGTGATCTTTTATTTTTCTGAATACTGTGATGGCTTGCTTTAGTTTCATTTGATTAGCAAGATTTTGATTTAAGTCCAAGAACACCATGGGAATGGATCTTGGAATATTTTTGCATAATTGTGATTGGGAAATCAGGATATGTCCCTTGTTAATTGAACCCTTGAGGTTAGGGATAACCCAAGGAGGTCTTTGATACAATTTTTAAAAGATTTAGAAGACTTTGGGAAAAGATCCTTCTAAAGATTAAAATCTGGAACTGGGAAGTTTTAGCTAAAATAGCCATAGTAGTTCTAATTCTGATCTTAAAGTGCCGTAGCCGTTATAAAATGCAGGAATGCGAAATTTTTCCTTCATCCATGATTCAAGAATTCCAGAACCTTATAATTGTTACATTTGTGATTAGATATTCCTCTGTAAAATTTTGTTTAATACAAGTCTGATAAATACCTTGTTTCATTTAGAATTTTCTTAGTTTTAAAAGATTGATTACTTAATTTCAAGAAATTAGAAATTGAAATTAAAAAAGGAAAACTAAACAAACCGTTCCCTGAGAACGATAACTCTTTCTTTCGAAAATTACTACCCAACAACAAGGTGCAATCTATTGTATTTTTTTGGGTTACGTAGTATTCTATTTTTATTTTTATTTTGGAGATTATCATCCTTGGGATGGCATCCTCCTGCACTAAGCGGGCACATCCAGTTGGAATGGTAGAAAACTCACGCAGGTCCCAATCTTGATCTTCTAGTAGCTTCTCTATAGCCATGAATGACTTTTATACGCCAGTCTCGTTCAAAGCCTTTGAATCCGGGACACAAACTCATACAAAGGGTGCAAGTGTAGTATTCTAAATTTTGAATCCCTTAATTAAATAATGAAATAATGAACTATACTGACATAAACATATATAAAATCGAGTAAAATGTCAAATGTTTGAAAAAGAAAACAAAATAAGATTAAGTAAAATTCATTAGTTACATTGCAATTAACGGCACTGATTAAGGACGTACAAAATAATTAAAAAATTGAACTGAACCGAACTGCA